TTGAACCTGGGAGGCAGAGGTTGCAGTGAGCCAAGATCGCGCCATTGCACTCCAGCCTGGGTGACAGAGCAAGACACTGTTTAAAAAAAAAAAAAAAAAAATTAAATCCACTCTTGAAAATGGTTTATTTGACACTTCAATTAAAAATGTGGGTTTTGGAGCAGATTGCTTGGGGACAAACCCCAGCTCTTCTACTTGCTAGAGGTGTGAATTTGGGTAAATCAAAGAACCTCACTGTCCTCATCTGTAAAATGGGCATACAGTAGTACCTACCTGCATTAGTTTGCTAGGGCTGCCATAACAAAATATTACAGACTGTGTGGTTTGAACAACATGAATTAATTTTCTCACAGTTTTGGAGGCTAGAAGTCTAAACGTTGGTAAATGTTTCTTCTGAGGCTTCTTTCCTTGGCTTATAAATGACTGCCTTCTTGCCATGTCCTTGCACAGTTATCCCTTGGTCTCTGTGTTGTCTGTGTCTTAATCTCTTTTTATAAAGATTCCAGGCATTTTGGATTAGGGCCACCAGTATGTCCTCTTCTTATCTTCATTATCTCTTTAAAGGCCCTGTCTCAAAATACAGTCACAATCTAAGGTACTAGGCAATTGGACTTTAACATATGAATTTTGTAGGGGATACAATTCAGCCATAACACTACCTCATAGAGTTATTGTGAAGATTAAATGAGACGATACATGTAAGGCAATGAACAGGGGACCTAGAATGCAGTAAGAGCTACCAGCAAGTTGCAAATCATTCCTCAGCAGGATATTGGCTGGAAGTACCCAGGGCTTCTCTTCTCATCCAAATGCAATCCGGCATCATACTTGCTTAAGATTTACAGTCCCCATTTGAATCACACAAGTCTTCCATTCTGGTCTGGCCCCTCCCTGGGGTCGATAAGATGTTCTTCTCGTAGAGAGCTCTCAGATTTTCTTTCTGTAACTGCTCCAAGTTTAGTCTTTAAAATGAGAACACGTCCTGTCCCAACTCCTTACGGCTCAGCAAGTGCATTTCTAATACTACTGCTATTTAAACTCTTTGGACAAGTCACTTATTATTAAACTTTAATGATAATCACTTACATTTATAGCCTCTTTCAGTTTACAAAGCTCTTTTCCTATCCATTACCTCCTTTAATCCTTACAACATCTGTGGGAAGGAATTACGTTCTTCTCTATTTGACAGATGAAGAAAACAAGGCTCTGAAGAGTAGCATTGTCATCCCAGGTTACACAATTAACATGTGGCAGAGATGGGCTTCAAATTCTGGTCTTTTACTTTCAATCTATCAGGAGTAGCTCACCCATCCAGGCATTTTTCTTTTTTTTTTCTTTCCTTCTTTCCTTCTTCTTTCCTTATTTCCTTCTTTCTTTCTCTCTCTTTCTTTCTCTCTTTCTTTCTTTCTCAGAGTTTCACTGTTTTTGCCCAGGCTGGAGTGCAATGGTGCAATCTCGGCTCACCGAAACCTCCACCCCCAGGTTCAACCAATTCTCCTGCCTCAGCCTCCTGAGTACCTGGGAATACAGGCACATGCCACCACGCCCAGCTGATTTTTGTATTTTTAGTAGAGATGGGGTTTTGCCGTGTTGGCCAGGCTGGTCTTGAACTCCTGACCTCAGGTGATCCACCCGCCTCGGCTTCCCAAAGTGCTAGGATTACAGGTGTGAGCCACCATGCTTGGCCCAGGTACTTTTCTATAAAAGTAGTACACTGGATAAATAATGCCCCTGCTCTCTCTCTTTTGGAGGAATGTAGGTAAGTTGTTGAGGTTAGTTATTTTGATTGGAAGTGATTAAAAACTAACTCAAACTGGCTTAAGCAAAACTTGTATTGGGTAACTTTAAAAAAAAATTTTGGAAGTATATTTTCAGACACAGATGGATCCAGATGCTCAAACTATGTCACCAGAATGTATGTTCTTTCTTTCTTTCTCCCTTCCTTCCTTCCTTCCTTCCTTCCTTCCTTCCTTCCTTCCTTCCTTCCTTCCTTCCTTCCTTCCTTCCTTCCTTTATTTCTCTCTCTCTCTCTCTCTCTCTCTCTGTCTTTCTCTCTCTTTCTCCCTTTCTCTCTTTCTTTCTCTTTTTGTGAGAAGTCTCCTCACTCTGTTGCCCAGGCTGGAGTGCAGAGGCGGGATCTCGGCTCATTGCAACCTCTGCCTCCTGGGTTGAAGTGATTCTCCAGCCTCAGCCTCCCGAGTAGCTGGGATTACAGGTGCCTGCTACCATGCCCGGCTAATTTTTGTATTTTTAGTAGAGGTGGGGTTATGCCATGTTGTCCAGGCTGGTCTCAAACTCCTGACCTCAAGTGATCTGCCCGCCTCGGCCTCTCGAAATGCTGGGATTACAGGTGTGAGCCACTGTGCCTGGCCTCCCTCTCCATTTCATAGCTTCCATTTGTGTCGTAGCTTCCCTTTGTGTCGATCTTATTCTTAGACAAGCTCTCTGCTGAAGCTCTGTCTCCACTAGCTTCAGCTCACAATTCCCTCAGCTCAACACACTCAACAGAAAGAGAACACTTCTTTTCTATAAACTGCAACGCATGAGCTGGATATCATTCTCAACTCTTTGACCTGGGTTATGGGCCCACTTATGAACCACTCACTGTGTCCAGGACAATGGAGTATTCTCATTGTCCAGGCCTGATCATTTGACCCCTCTGGAGTGGAGTATGGTGTGTGTGTGTGTGTGTGTGTGTGTGTGTGTGTGGTGGTGTGTGTGTGTGAGAGAGAGAAAGAGAGAGAGAAAAAGAGAGAGAGAGAGAGACCCACTAAGGGATCAAGTGAGGAGAAAGAAGATTCTTCAAATAAAAAGCACTGTTGTCAGGAGTGAGTGGGTGGTAGGCGGATCTCTACAGGGTGTCTTTGCTCTGCAGAGCAACCACAGAGGAACTGGGGGTCCATCTTAGCAAGAACTCTCACTTCTTGCCTTGAGGAAGAGTGATAAGTGGACTTTTATGATTTTTTCCCAGGACTGCTTAACCTGGCTCAGTAGGCTAGACAATAAGGCAATAATTCAAGCAAAGTAAGGAGTAAAGAGTAATGAATAACCTGGTATGTTCCGGACAGGACCCAAACCAGGAGCAGCCCCAGAGGGGACTCTGAGATGCTCTTTGATGGTGGCCACCTCCCTGCTCCCTGCCCCCAGCACCTTCCATCTCCCTGTGAAGCTGTGAGCTCTGGCAGGGACCATGTCTGTTTTACTGACCACCTTCTCCCCAGTGCTTAGCCTGAGGGTAACTGTGCCTGGCACATCACAGGGGCCTCACACATTTATTGGATGATTGAATAAATTAATGAACCAGGTTGATCAGTCTGACTGGCAGGATCTACCTACCTCTCTGGATAAGTCAACCCCCTTCTTTGACCTCTGTTCCCCATCTGTAAAGTGGGAGAAGATATAGAAAGAAACGCTCTCCACAGACCCTGCAGCTCATGATTCCAGGATCGCAGGGTTCTCAGGAAACAGCCAGGATGCCTCTCAAGAAGCCAAATGGAAGGGGAAGTCAAATTTATTGGGCACTTCATGTTCAGGTGCTTAATGAGACTAATTCACATGGTTCCCAGGTCTCCAAATTGTGGGATTTTATGGATCCATAACTTTAATAAAATTTGGGATTGAAATAGGCTACCTATTTTTTATTTTGGCAAATAAAGACATTTTAAAAACCTCCCATTAACTATCACCACTATTTCTTAAAAGAAGAGGGTTTTTTTTTTTTTTTTTACACTAAGCAAGTAGGAAATACACAATCTCAAAATAAAAGAGCAGTCCCACTTCCCCACTGGAAAAAAGACAATTGGCAATCTTACATGATTTTTTTTTGGCAGATAAAAATGCATTTCTTGTCTCTGTAGCCCAGGCTGGAGTACAGTGGCACAATCATAGCCCACAGCAGCCTTGAACTCCTGGCCTCAAATGGTTCCCCCATCTTACCCTCCCTGGGATGTAAGGGAGGGTAAGTAGCTGGGATGACAGGCACAAGACACTGTGCCCAGCTCCAGATATACATTTTGAGATTGACCCATGTATGGGGTCCAGTATTTGAGACCTACTAGCATGGATTACTTTTTGCCACCCCACCCCACTTACATACCTGTGAAGTGAGACTTAATCCACCCACTTTACAGATGAGGAAACAGATTTAGGGAGACTGGTATTGCAAGGTCACAGAGACAGTTTTAGACTCAGTTTGTCTGGGTTCAAACCCACATCATCTTGATAAATCCTAAGCCAAGGCTCTTTTCCAACAGGGAAAGAAATGACCCACACGGGCTCCCTTGAGGTGCCCCTGGGGTGTTCTGTGACCTAACCCTGTGCCTGGTCTTTGATGCTTTTTCCTTAACACATCTTTATGGTGTGCCTACTTCACACCAGGCGCTGGGCTGGGGGCAGGGGAGAGTGTAGGGAGGGAAACCAAAAATGTCCCAGCCCCTTTCTCTCCTGTCCCCTAGTACTCACTCTGGGTCCCGTTCCCCAGGCCTCCCTCCTTGCCCTAGCAGCCAACGAATCCCCATCGCAGGCGTGGGCTGCTACCAGTTTAGGGGCTTCCCTCTCCCAGGGGTGTTGGCAGTTTCCTAGGAGACTCTGGGAACCTTCAACGCCTCCAAGACCTAAAGGACTGAAAGCGTAATGGTGCAACTTCAGGCACTGTGATAGGTTCTAGGGGAGGTAATTGGGAGTAAGAGATCCAGTTCAAATCCTATCAAATAATACCCCCTCCAGCCCCTCCCCCCACTCCCATAGGCTTTGTGGGGCCTCACAGCCCCTCAGCTCAAGCTGGAAGAAGGGAGTCCCCTACACCAGGGGGCCCTACTGTGGAGGGGTGCTTGCTGCCCCGGCTGGGGGACCCCAGGGATCGTGGCCACCCTTCCCCCCAACTGCCAGAACCAGGAGCACCCTTTCCTGGTTCCGCCCCGCCCCGTCCCGCACGCCCGCGCGGGAGCGCGCCTCCGCCGGGCCGCGCCGGTGCACGAGAGCGCGCGCCTCGGCGCGGGAGCGCGCCCCGGGGAGAACCCGAGCAAGATGGAGGCCGCGCAGAGGCCGCCGCCTGGGCCGAGGCAGCCGCTGCTGGGAGCGCCGAGCCGCGGCGCCTAGGCCGTGCCAGTCCCGGATCCGCTACCCTCGACCGTGCCCAGGTTGGTCTCCCCGCACCCTTTCCCTGCGACCGCAGCCTCGCGCGCGTCCGGCCTGGGCGCGGGGCAGCCGCCCCCCCAACCCCGGCCCTACTCGGGCCCGGCCGCTCCCCAGCCCCCCGGGGACAGCCCCTGCCCACCGCCTGCTCCTCGCGGGCCCCGCTGCCCACCAGCCCCGGTCTTTCGGTCCTTTGGCCTGGAAACCCCCTCTCCCCAAACCTGGCCCGCCAATCCTAGGCTCCCTCCAGCCTACCTCCAGCCCTGGCTTCTGAGGACAGCCCCCCCTCCTCGCCCAGTGTCCAGCAGTCCCAGCCCCCGACCCCCCTCTAGTTGTATCCTAATTCTGCCACTTTGCCCTCTTAGACCCTCATACCAGCCCCCATTCCCCGTCCCAGCCCCCATATCACCTTCCCAACCACCCAGTCCCAGCCTCTTAAATTGCTTCTTCCCCCATCCTAGAAGCGCCCACCACCGCCTCATAGTCCCTTCCTAGACACCCAATACCAGACCTCCTTCTACCCCTTAATACCAGTCCCCAAATTCCCTTCCGAGCTCCCTAAATTCAGCCCCTCTGCTAGTCCTCCAATACCAGTCTCCAGCCTCCATTCCACCTCCCCCTGTCCCCTCCTACTCTCCTAATACCAGCTCCCAAACCCCCTCCTCAACTCCCCCATGGCCACTTTCAAGCACCTTCCCCTACCCCTTCCAGGTCTCATATCCCCATCCCAGGCTCCCCCCAACTTTCTCATGGCCCCTTCCTAGGCCCCCAATAGGAGACCTTTGCCAGTCCCCCTAGACACCGCCTCAACACTCTCATGACCCCTTCCTCTCTCCCCTTATCAGCTCCCAGACGCCCCCAGCTCTGCCCCAGGCCCCGCCCTCGCGGGTTCCTTGACTCAGGGCCGCTTCTCGCGTGCGTCCCCAGCTCCCGCCCGACAGCCCGGCGCTCCGTCCCGGGCCGGCGGCCCCCGCCAGGCGCCGCCGCCGCCGGCCCCGCCTCCGGGCACCATGCTGCCCTCGCAGGAGGCCTCCAAGCTCTACCACGAGCACTACATGCGGAACTCGCGGGCCATCGGCGTGCTGTGGGCCATCTTCACCATCTGCTTCGCCATCATCAACGTGGTGGTCTTCATCCAGCCCTACTGGGTGGGCGACAGCGTGAGCACCCCCAAGCCTGGCTACTTCGGCCTCTTCCACTACTGCGTGGGCAGCGGGCTGGCGGGCCGCGAGCTCACCTGCCGGGGCTCCTTCACCGACTTCAGCACCATCCCGTCCAGCGCCTTCAAGGCGGCCGCCTTCTTCGTGCTGCTCTCCATGGTGCTGATCCTCGGCTGCATCACCTGCTTTGCGCTTTTCTTCTTCTGCAACACAGCTACGGTCTACAAGATCTGCGCCTGGATGCAGCTCTTGGCAGGTAGGGGAGGGGGTGGGCGGAACCCCCAGAACAAGCGCCGGGGACGGGTCTCCTTCCTGCCAGGTCCCCTTCCTGAAGGAGTCAGGTAGATTTTGCTTCTCTGTGTTAAGACACTCACCTCCTTGGCTGACGGATCCTCAGTGGGTACTGGGGAGGGGGTGCGCTGGATAAAGACACCTTAGGGCAGGGGACAGAGCCTTGGGACTAGATAGGTGGGTCTGTGTGCTTGGATATGGGTAGACTGCATTTATTGCTGGGCTAGCATTAAGTTAGTGTCTCCAAGGGTCTCTGTTGGCTGTCTTGGGGGAAATATTTATCTGAATGAGGGGTTACTGTAGGTTTGATCGATTTCTATTATGTTGAAAAAAAGCATAAAAGGTGAATCAAGAGATCTGGCTTGGACTTTTAACTTGCTGACACTATCAACTTGGGTGTTTCACTTTACTTCTCTAAGGCTCAGTTTCCTCATCTGTAAAACAGTGGAGAAGGTGCCAAAAGGACAAATGAAAGAGTGTTTTGTAACCTTTAAAATGCTGTGATAAGGGCGAGAGGCTGTCTATTGTGCTTATCCAATGTTTTGAGATGTGAGTGGTCAAAAGCATTGGGTGACATGGGTCTCTGGAGGGCAGGTCTCCATCCCCACCTCCCGCCCCTGCACCATGCAGGAAAGTTCTGGTGCCATGCCCAATGGGAGTGAGTCCCTGGGACCCTCCAAAATGTTTGACCAAGGCAGTCATCTTACCCTAAGAACCAGAGAAGGGCCTTTTGGGAATGAGAAATGCTGAGACAATTTTTCAGGACCCATTAGAGTCCCCCACTTCCACCCACCTTTCGATCAGAGATAGATTTTGAAGACTCAGCAACTTAGGCTTTTGCCTAATTGCTGGCAGGGAAGAGAGTTGGGCTGAGGAAAGTGGGGCCAGGGGATGGGAGGGGTGGGGGAGGAGAGCTGGTGAAGGGAAAAGTTTGGAGTCTTCCAGGGATGAGAAAGAGAAGGGGGAAATGTGATTGTCATGCTTCAGAGATGGTTTTTTAAAATAAGCACCTCAGGACATTCAACAAGTGACTGCCATTCCAAAAGAGACCCCCTGGAGGAGGCATTATATCACTTTCTGATGATTCCATTGCTCAGAGCATTGCAGGGAATTAACTTTGGAACATGGAGTGTAATCACTTGAATATCATCATTGAGGAGAGACCTCTATCTTTTAAATGAGGACTGTAACTTTTGGAAATGGCTGGAAGTCACTCCAGGTCAAGTATAGAGAATACAATGGGTCATCAAATTGATAATTGTCACTTGAAATGACAGCCACGGTGTGAGGACAAAGTCATGAGGCTGGTCTGTTTCCACAAGAGGACTTTTACAAATGCAGGGAGGAATTACTGCCTCATTGGAAGAATTGCCCAAACTCCTAAAAGGACTACTTTGAAGAAGGCAGATGTGGACATCCTAATGGGCTTGTTTCAAATTCATCTCACTCAACTCAATTTAGATGTGGATCTTTGAAGAGGATGAGAAAGGTGAACTATAGGATGTGAGGGGTATGGCTCCATACTTCTCTGTGGTACCCATGGAGGTGATATTATGTATTTCCGTTCTATTTCTCCTGCAAAGGCAAGCTGGAACCCTCAATTCATCAACCTTAATCTGGAGTCTGCAGATGAGTTGCTGACCTCTTGGCATTCAAATTCTCTGTAATCTGTGTGGGTTTAATCTTGGGGATTTGATGAATTGTACAATAACCCCCATATAATAATAGAATTTCAGGCACCTTAGAGATCAGCTCCTTCAAATCCCACCTTCCCCTCCCCCTGTTTTAGAGAGAGGAAACTGAGTATAGAGATGAGAAGGGCTTACTTGAGATCACATAGCTGGTAAGGGAGGAAGCTAGTTCTACAGCCAGGGGTTCTTGACTTCTGGCCCAGGGCACTTTTCCTTGCATTACTGCCCTACCCATGTGGGCTGAGGGGGCAGTTGGCAGAGTTGGGCAGTTTATTCCACTTTGTTCAGAGATTTCTGAGTTCTTTGGGTGAGTGACTGATTCACTTTGCTTAATAAAGTGACACCAGGCCAGAGGCCAGAGCACTGGACTACAAGTCTTGGGGGTGGGGGTTCTTGGCTGACTTGGGTCTGTGACTCACCATGCATTGTTAAGTAAGCCTTTTAGTTTAAATCTCAATTTCCCATTTGTACAATAGGGGACTGGGAGCAGGTAGATAAGGTGATTTAAAGTATCTCTTGGCCAGGCATGGTGGCTCACACCTATAATCCCAGCACTTTGGGAGGTTGAGGTGGGAAGAATGCTTGAGGCTAGGAGTTGGAGACTAGCCTGGCCAACATAGCGAGACCCTGTCTCTGCAAAAAATAACATAAAATAAATAAAAAATTAAGTATCTCTTTCAGCCCTGTGGGGATCCTGGGACAACTCTTTCATCAAGATCATTCCATTCAGAAAGTGATAAATCAGTCATCCTCAGAGGAACTGTGGAGAATCAAAGGGCTCTGTTTGTGTCACATAAGAATTAAAGTGCTTATCATATGATTTTGTACCTGTTAACTTTTTTTTTTTTTTTTTAAATTTTGAGACGGAGTTTCACTCTTGTTGCCCAGGCTGGAGTGCAATGGCACCATCTCGGCTCACTGCAACCTCCACCTCCCGGGTTCAAGTGATTCTCCTAACTCAGCCTCCCGAGCTGGAATTACAGGCGCCTGCCACAATGCCTGGCTAATTTTTTGTATTTTTAGTAGAGATAGGGTTTCACCATGTTAGCCAGGCTGGTCTCAAACTCCTGATCTCAGGTGATCCACCCGCCTTGGCCTCCCAAAGTGTTGGGATTACAGGTGTGAGCCACCGCGCCTGGCCTGTTCCTGTTAACTTTTATTCAAGTATTTTGGGGTCCTCTGAGTGCAGAGCATGGGGGCATTGGGAAAATACAAAAAGATATGTATTCTTTTGTTTGTTCTTCACCTGCTCTGAAACCATCCCTATGCTTAGTCCTGTAATACTGATATGCGTAAGATGTCATCCCTGTCTCCAAGGATCTTAGGTCTATAAAATGCAATTCCTGCTCTCAGGGAGCATACTGTCTGGTTAAGTCACTATATTAGTCAGCAGTCTTTCAGTGGCGAACGACAGAAACCCAACTCGAGCTGGCTTAAATAAATTAGAAAAAAATAAACAAGCTAGAGTTTATCGGCTCACTTAATTTGAAAGTCAGGAGTATTTGGCTTTGGGCATGGACAGATCCAGATGCTCACATCATGCCATGAAGAATCTGTCTCTCTCCATTTCTTGGTTCCTCTGTGCTCACTCATTTTAAATCTATTTCTGTCTTCAAGGTGACAAATAAGGCTACTAGTAGATCTAATTTACATTGTTTCAGCTTAGCGGTGCCTGTGGAAAAAGAATAATTCGAGCAAACGTTCCAGGGCTGAGCCAGATTGGCCCCGCTTGGTCAAGTGTCCACCTCTTAATTAATCATGGTGACTTTGTCTAAGGCCTGAGCGCATACTTATCCTCGGAACCGCACATGGACTGATAGTGGAGAAAGATCAGTTCCCTCAAAGATAAATCAAGTGTGATCACCGGAAGAGGGGTAGCATGGGCAAGACAAGTGCCAACAGAAGTTTTCCTCTGGGCAGTCTGAGCACTAATATGTGCGGGCTGGAAATGCTGTGGAAACCCAGAGCAGCAGAGGGGGCTGCCAGCTTAGTTGGGAAGTGAGGCTTGAGCTGGGTGGGGTGTTACCAGGTGGGAGGTATGAGCGAGCATCCTGAGTGGAGAGGAAGATCGTGGGCAAAGACATAGCAGTGAGAAAGACACATCTGGCTTGAGTGTGGCATCCACATAGGGGAGCAGCATGAGGAGAGGCGAGGAAGGAATTATGGGGGCCACAGTATGCTGGGTCAAAGAATTTCAACTTTAATCAGCAGCAGTTGGATGCTACTATGACTTATTATTATTAAAGAAAAATAGCTAACATTTTACATGCATTATATAATTTGATCCTCACAACAATCTTGTGGAGTAGGTACCATTATTCATATTTTATAGGTGAGAAAGCTGAGCCTCAAAGAGGAAAAAGTCATTTGTCCAAGGTCATACAGTTGGTAAGTGGTGGAGCCTGAATTGTAACTTCATATGTCTGACTCTAAAACCTGAGATCAGCCAGGCTTGGTGGCTCATGTCTGTAATCCCAGAATTTTGAGAGGCTGAGGCAGGCAGATCACTTGAGCCCAGGAGTTCAAGACAAGCCTGGGCAACATGGTGAAACCCTGTCTCTACAAAAAATACAAAAATTAGCCAGGCGTGATGGCATGTGCCTGTAGTCCCAGCTACTCAGGAGGCTGAGGCGGGAGGATTGCTTGAGCCTGGGAGGTGGAGGTTGCAGTGAGCCATGATCATACCACTGCACTCCAGCCTGCACAACAGAGCGAGACCCTGTCTCAAAAAAACGAAACAAAACAAAACAAAGAACAAAAATTCCTGAGATCTTGGTTAAAGGAGGATTAATGGTGGGGATAGTGACATGTTTTTGCCAGAAGAGTCAACTGCTAACTAAGTACAGAGGCAGGATATCTCTGCTACTTTTTTACCTGGTTGTTCCCATTTACTAAGAATATCCAATGTGCCAGCTTCTATGCTAGACATTTTCACACTCATTGTCGTTTAATCCTCATCTGTTAAAATAACTTGCTCCAAGGTCACACATTTAATAAAAGGTGGAACTAAAACTCAACACAAGTCTAATACAGATCTAGAACCTGTTTGTATCACTGAACTGGAACCTAAGAAGTGAATACACAAATCACAGAACTATAAGCTCCATAGACTAAATGTTACCTGTGGGCCCGGTGTAGTTAGCCAGGGAACACTCTCAACTGGGTTAGAGATTCAAGCTGAAGTATGGTTAAGGGTCGGGGTGCCAGGATAAGTATGTGCTAGTCGCGTAAGATCACAGGATTATGGCCAGGCACAGTGGCTCTGGCTTATAAT